TTTTTTTTGTACAGTAAATACGTAATACTAATGTACTTGACAAAAGAACATTATTTGTTAAAATTAAATACAACAGTCAAAAGTATTCGAGATCATGTTGTTTTGGAACGTCCAAGGCATTCGAATCATGATATCTTTTTTGTACGTAACAAATAAATTTTCAATTGCATTGTGCTATAAAAATTCTCTGGTTTTAAATGCAAAATTTTTTTTAATTATACTGCATTACATAATTTGACTGTATAAAAGTAACCAGTTTTTTTATTTGGTTTTTCAAAGAATTGCATTCATCAAATGTAAAAAACTTGTTATTTCTTTTGGAATTTTGTTCCAAGTACAATGATGAATAAAGTCATTAAATATCTTTAATCGAATTTTTAATAAAGTATCACAAAGTATTGTAGATTTTTATAATACCTCCTCATTCTATAATTGAAGTTATATTAAGTTAAACATGCTCAAAGCATAGGGATTTTGAGATGAAAATATAGACAGTAACAAACAATAAAGTTTTGAATTGATTTAACTAAGTCGAAGTACCACGACATCTTGAATCATCTGACTATACAGCAATAACTATCACCAGAAATTTTACATTTCTTCATTCAGGATAAGACTGTTTCTTGGGAATTGAGCCTGGATGAAAATCGTTATTTGCTTATTTCGAGATGCACGTGAAGTGTTGCATTAGCCTTTTCATTGAAAAAAAAAAAAAAAATTCATTTTAAATAAAAAATTATTCACTTTTAACGTAATACAACTTTATCTTGTACAAAAAAAAAGTTTACTTTGTACATTTCGAGTACATAATTTCTTAGTTCTGAGTAATTTCTTTTTTTCTGTTGCGTAGTGATCACACGCTCGATTATACGGTCCCGTACGTCATCAACAAAAGTATTTATAAATCAATTGAAAAAACGTCCAACGCTTATACATTAACAGTACTCTCGTGACCGCAGGATGAAACTCACAAACTATCTGCGCCAAAAACAAGCCCCATTCGTAATCAAATTTGAGTAAAAACGTAATCCCTTGGAAAAAAAGAGAAAAAAAAAACAAACCCATTCAACCACTTCCCTTCGTTCCGCCTCAAAATCAATTGCAAACCCGCCTCGCCTCGTCGCCGCAACGACAGCTCCGTCAAGTGCAAAGCGCTTTATTTGTATACCCACCGCCCTGTGCGTGCCCGTGAAATAAAGCGAAAGCGACGAGAGAAAGAGAAAACGATCCCGCCCTCATCGTATTTCCAGCAGCTAAACTCGCTCATCCTCTTACATGCGGCTGCAGCCTTGTCGTGCACTGATTCGCACGCCCCCCACCCCCCATCTCTCTCTGCTAATGGAACGGATCTACCAGACTGTGTGTGTGTATCGATTGGTAATCCGGTAGGCCCCCGGGAAGCTACCACGGATGTGTTTGGCTCGACGGCGAAATTTTACAAATTGAAAATCCCAATTCGGTCCTCGCGACGAAAGCTCGACTCGTGGACTTTTCACGCACACCCAAGTGAATTTTCATCCGTACGAAAGAGTCCCTCTCCCCCTCTCTGCTATCGATGCGAGCTTGATTTGCTTTTTCCTGTTTTCCCCAGGCACGCGAGTTGGACGTAAAAATTCATTCCCTCGAAAGCCATCGATGGCCTATACATTGAAAGCCACGCGAGCGCTCGGCGCATTGAAAGCAAATTTCAAAACCTTTGCTTCGTGAAAGGGTGAAAAACACCGAAAGCTGGTATACATGGCACACGCCCCACAAAGAGGTAAACAGCTTTTGATCCGAAATAAATAAACCTCGAGGCTCCGAGTACTATACGGCGGCCATGCATTGAAATAAAAAAAATAAAAAAAATAAAAATTGCCCTGCTACAGCAATTTCGCGAAAGAATCTCGCCTACTCGCATACACACGTCACGCGAGTAAGCTTTTACCATTTATTAAAAAACGCGCGCTCGGAGAGCAAATAAGAAAAAAAAAAAAAAAAAAAAAAAAAGAAAAAAAAAGAAAAAA